CATTGAAGCACTTGTGGGGACAAGGTAAATTGAACAAGAGGCATGCAAGGTGGATGGAATTCATTGAGACCTTCCCATACGTCATTCGATTATAAGCAAGGTAAGGAAAATGTGGTGGCGGATGCGTTGTCGCGAAGGTACGTATTGCTAACTACTCTTGATTCTAAGTTACTTGGGTTTGAACATATTAAAGAATTGTATGAAAAAGATGTTGAATTTTCGGATATTTATTTGTCATGCATAAAAGGGGCGGTTGATAGGTTCTTTAGGCATGAGGGGTATTTATTTCGAGAAAATAGGTTATGTGTTCCTAATTGTTTTATTCGGGAGTTGTTAGTAATAGTGGTGGATTGATGGGACACTTTGGGGTTCAAAAGACTTTAGATGTATTGAAGGAGCATTTTTATTGGCCTAAGATGAAAAGTGATGTTGAGCGAATTTGTAGTTGATGCATAGGTTGTAAAAAGGTTAAATATAAGGTTTTACCACAAGGTTTGTACATACCTTTACCTACACCTAGTGAGCCTTGGGTTGATATCTCGATGGACTTTGTTTTGAGTTTACCTAGGACTAAGAGAAGTCGGGATTCTATTTTTGTGGTTGTAGATAGGTTCAGCAAAATGACACATTTTATACCATGTCACAAAACTGACGATGTCACGAACATTGCTGACTTATTCTTTAAAGAGATTGTGTGTTTACATGGGGTTCCTAGAAGCATAATGTCGGATCGGGATGTCAAATTTTTGAGTCACTTTTAGAGAGTTTTGTGGGGTAAGTTAGGCACTAAGTTACTATTTTCCACAACTTGTCACCCACAAACGGATGGGCAAACCGAGGTAGTGAATATGACTGTAACACAATTGTTACGCACAGTAATCAATAAAAATTTGAAGAGTTGGGAGGAGTGTCTACCATTTGTTGAATTTGCATACAATCGAGCTATTCACTCTACTACGTCATATTCTCCATTTGAAATTGTATATGGTTTTAATCCATTAACTCCTTTAGATTTAATTCCTTTACCTGTGAATGAACGTAGTAGTTTAGATGGCAAAAAGAAGGCGGAATTGATTAAGTCACTCCATAAAAAGGTAAAAGCGCAAATTGAAAACGAAAGTAAGTTGGTTGCGTCGCAGGCGAACAAAGGTAGAAAGCGCGTGACATTCGAGCCAGGAGATTGAGGTGCACCTTAGGAAAGAGTGGTTTCTGGAGTAAAGGAAGTCCAAGTTGCAATCGAGGGGCGATGGTCCATTTCAAGAGATTGAAAAGATAAACGACAATACTTACAAGTTGGACCTTCCAGGTGAGTACAATGTTTCGGCTACTTTTAATGTATCTGATCTCTCTTTGTTTGATGCAGGTTTAGATTCGAGAACGTATCCTTTTGAAAAGGGAAGGGATGATATGATCCAAGAGTCGAGCCCGACGAAGGCGAGTGCGAGACGAGATCCGTTGATAATCGATGGAGGACCAATGACGCGATCAAGGACAAAGCAAGTGAAACAAGCGATAGGATTGCTCGTTCAAGAAACCATTGATGGAACCATGTTCAAGGCTCAAAATGGAGCAACTTTTATGTTCGGGTCGAAGGTCGAATCAATTTGGATTAATTTGTTATCAAACGACCAAATCGGAGGCTGAAACACTATGCGGCCGCATGGTGGCATACCAAAAATCAAGATGGCATTTCTTGTTGAACCATGCAACTGCATGAAAATACACCACGCGGCCGCACAAGTAAAAAATTTGGCAAATTTTTCAATTTTGGCAATTTTTTAATATTTTGATTCTTTTCCATATTTTGGGGATCATGCTCGATTTTTGCACGATTTTTACCTAGTTTTTAGGTTTAATATAAATAGGAGTTTTCATTCAATTGTTAAAAACTTTTGACATTATTAATATCAAATTAAAGTGAGACGTATTGTCTTCTCTTCATCGTTCTTCATTGAACAATTTCGAACTTATCAAGCGTTAACTTGTGGCGTTCAAACAATCGGATTTAATTCTTGGATTGCATGATCAAGGAGACTTTCAAGCGTCGTTCTTGTTGGGTTTTTTGGTTCGACTTTCTTTTGGATTAATCCTAAACTCTTGGATTAATTTGACTTTCTTGGGTTCGTCAATCTCGTTTTGGGTTTCGTAGTCAACGTTGCTACGGGGTTCGCATCAGATTTACTCGGCCCATACTACCTAGACACCTTCAAATATAAATACTCAAGCCCTAGAACGAAATTGAAGAGGTTGCTACATTATTCTTTCATTGTAAAAGATATTCATGACTTCTTTAAAGAGATCCAAGGTGTAATTAATTGGAGATTTCATCTACATCAATCTTGTGATCCGACAACCATTGTTTTGGGAAAAAACATTGAATCTAAATAATCCAAAACACCTTGCTTCCTTAATCTATTGAGGAATGAACTCTCTCATTGAAGGATTGAGAGTGGTGGATTGAGGTGCAGTTACAAGCACAAGAACGGACAGTTCTTAGTGTTCCACTTGGTGATACAATCAGCTAAGGACCAGGAGGTTGTAGTGGACAGCAGATTGGACTGCAGGAGATAGATCAAAAAGTCTAGTAAGAGGCTAGAATTATCTACAGCAATAGATCGTGAGACTGGAACAGCGAGTCTGATTGGGTACGGAGTTTAGTACAAGTTGTACTTGCTGAATTGGTATAGTGGAGGTAACTGGCTTAGTCCTGGAGTTTTACCCACGTTGGGGTTTCTCCGTCATCATATTGTTTATTATTTACTGCTTTACGTAATATACAAATTGGAGCATTCCAACATAAGTTAATTGTCTTGTATGATTAATCACCTAGACAACTAATTAAAGTGACTTGTTGCTTTAGTTATGTTAATTCCACATGTAAGGTTAAATTGGTTAAAGTGAAATCTAGAACGTAAACTTGGTAACGCATAAAATTTGAACTTGATACTGTATCACGTTAGTCGAACTTTCTAGCATATCTAAGCGTTCTAGGTCAAATATTTTTTTCAAAATTTTAAGTGGAAGAGGAGAGGGGCAGGGAGGGTGCTAATGAATAGATAATTTTTTTGTATAACAAGTAGTTGGCGCCATTATGTAATTGTTTCTTTGGAGTGTCTTGCTATGCAATTACGTAAATCTTAATCATCCATGTATGTGGGATAATCTAGCGGAGATTGGCATATTTGCTATTGATATTATTGCTGCTGCTACTATGAATGCATGAAATCAACTTATGGATTAATGTCATGGCCGCTAGAAGCAGTATTACAATTTGCCACCCTTACGATAATCTGTTCGTCTTATTACATGGGATTGCTCTTCAATCCATTCTTTTGATATTAGAGATCAACCATGTTAACGTTAATAGTAAAAACTTACTACATTTGCTTGACGAACCCATATTTGGATCTTAATGGAGAATGTCAAGTTTAGTATGAAGTCAAGGAAAGGAATTCCCACATCACTAGTTATGAATTATGTGTTTTGGTCATGGTGTATTGGGAGGGTATCCCTCATTCTTAATAGCTGATTTCTTACATTCGAAGTGTCATCAATCAATAAGGATTCTTGGGCGGAGGTTGTTTATATACTAGGTGTTACAACTGCATAGGATGCAACTCACCCCTTTCAAGTCAATTCAAAATTTTAGCTAATGTTTGGTGGCTATTAAAATTTGGATTTTTATCAAAATCAAAGTCAATAATTAATTTTAATCATATATTTTGTAAGATACACAACTTTTTAATTATATATTTTATCAACTTTTATCAAAATTTGTTAAAATTTTAATTTTAATCCACACATGGTTAGTGGTTGGGATAGTCAAGTTAGTTTAGAACATTTAGCCCCCGTTTGGCCCCCATTTTTGGTAATGAAAATGGGGGGAATAGTATTTTGTTGAAAAAATGAGTGGTTGAAAAGGAAGGAAAAATTTTCGATTTACGTGTAATATTTTTTTATGAAAGATTGTATGGTTGAAAATAGGAGAGAGAAAAATAGAATGTAATGGAATGTAATTTAATGGGGATCAAACAGGGGCTTAAACTCGATTATAAATCTGTCAATTTTTTGGAGAATGATTGAGCATTGACAAGTGTAACATTGTAAACAACTTTTTACCCCGGGAATATTGTAGGTCTTTGAGAATTGCACAAAACCAATGTTGTAACAAAAGTCAAATATTGAGAGTTGTGACCGTCTGCTTATAATTGAATCATAATACTTTTATGATTTAGCAAATGTCTTTGGTAGCTCCATGAGATTCAAGTGAACGTCTTAAAATTATTAGAATTCCACTAGTTCAATGTCCATAAATTGAAATCAAGATTTTAATCTAAATAAAAATTAACAATTGATTTTAATCATAAATTTAATGAAATTTACAACTTTTTAACCACACATTTTATCAACTTTTATTAAAATTTACTAAAAAATCTGATTTTAATTCTTATCAAACAATGTATAAATATGGACCAGAGTTGGAGATCAAAGTTATTGAATAGTCAAAAATTATTTTTGAAAATAAGAAATTGCATTTAAACGTATTTGAATTTTCTGTAAGTATATCGTTTGACTAGAAAAGTTCAAAAAAAAAAATGATCTAAAGTAACTTTTCAAAAAGATTTTATATAAGTAGCAAGAGTTTTGATAAAGAATAATGTTATTTAACATTAATTGTGTTACAATATCATTCTTGATGATGCTAAGTGATGGGCACAACCAAAGGTAAAATTAAGCGATTTAGTTAAATATACATCTAATTTATTCTCTGATTAGAATGAGAATTTGATTTTATAGTAGTAATTTTTTTGAGAATGTGTAATAAAAAATAAAAAAAATTTGAGTTTGTATGTAATATTATTTTATTAAAAAATGTATGATCGATAAGAATAGAGGAAAAATGAATTATACTTTAACGTGGGTTAAACAAATTCTCAGTTTAATTCAAATTGTTATTCTCGTAGTGATTTGCAATATAAAAAGAAATATACGCTATTCATCATTAAAGTGAGAAATTTGTAAGACAATACTCGTCCTTGACAATGATACACGCCTTTCATTTAAAAATTACAACTTTAGAAGGTGCGCCATTGAACAAATATTTTCATTGCCCATTGAAATCGGACGGTGGAAGCTATGGAAATTGATCGTGGAAGTACGTCTCATGATCAAATCACGCGGAAGCGTATGTTATTCTCCATGTTCGCCTTTATAATTATTTAACGAAATTTTTAATGTGATGTAAAGAGTTTCTGAAACTCTTTTTTTTTTTTTAATTGTTTTTCAAAGATGGGGAAGATAAAGAAGAAGAAGAAAGGGGGAAGTTAAACCCTATTGTGGTGTTACTACTGGGTGCACCCGGAAGTGGAAAATCCACCTTCTGTGATCACGTTATGAAGAATTGTCCCCGGCCTTGGGCCCGCATTTGCCAGGTAGATTTATATGGACACAAACTGTTTGCTGAAATGCGTGAATGGGTTGAATTTGATATTTTTTTTTACGGATGTGTATACTGTTGAATCGTTTCTGAATTGCTTCGACAGTTTCCCCGTCCTCATTTTTTGTGGTATATTGTTATGTGCTATAATTTGTTAAGGTGTATGAGTTTATGGACTATACCATTGATTCAGTGAAGTGTTTTTTTACTGAATTTAACTCCCTTTGTAATGCTTGTGCAACAGATCTAATTAAGTAGTTTGTAGTTCATTTTGGTGATAATTTTATTCGCGTTATATTTATGTACAATTATATATAAAAACCCGGTCTTTCTATTTCATGTGTCATTGTAGGCAAAGATTATTTTTTGTTGACACTGTTCGAGATATATCTCTTGTTGGCTTAGTAAGTCCTTATCCTTTTATTCGTAATTCAGGACACTATTAGTAATGGCAAGTCTGGGACAAAAATCCAGTGTCTAGCCAGTGCAGGAACTGCATTAAAGGATGGTAAAGGTGTATTTATAGACAGATGCAACCTTGAAAGAGAGCAGCGTGCAGAGTTTTTGAAGCTTGGTGGCCCAAAAGTCGAGAAGCATGCTGTGGTGCTTGATCTTCCTGCCAAGCTCTGTATTTCTCAGTCTGTGAAGCGGAGTGGGCACAAGGACAACTTACAAGGTGGGAAAGCTTCTGCAGTCGTGAATCGGATGCTGCAAAAGAAGGAATTACCTAAGTTGAGTGAAGGGTTCACTCGAATTACATTCTGTCAGGATGAAAATGATGTCCAAGAAACCATCAATATGTATATTGCCCTTGGTCCGTCAGGTACCATTCCTTCTGGCTGTTTTGGTCAGAAAAATGATACAACTTGGGATTATGAAATTTCTGAAAAAGGTGGATTCACCAGGTGACGCCATATCTGAGGCAAATGTCTCTCAGAAAAGTGTCCATAATGAAGCTTCCAAGGAGAAAGACCTTGGAATTGAGAGCACTCAAAATATTTCTTTTCGATTAGGTCAAGCTTTTGAGGAGGTGAAGGATTGTGAAAGAGTCGAAATGACCTCTTTTGCAGGTCGAAATGCTTCAGACAATATTCCGACTTTGGCATTTCCTTCTATTTCTACAGCTGTTTTCCAATTCAATCTGGAGAAGGCATCTGACATTATTGTTGAAAAAGTTGAGGAGTTTATAAGTAAGATCGGAAAGGGTAGGCTTGTTTTGGTCGATTTGTCTCATGGATCAAAAATATTGTCTCTGGTTAGGACTAAAGCTGCAAAAAAGAACGTTGAATCCAGTAAGTTCTTCACAGTTGTGGGAGATATAACTCGACTCCATTCTTGTGAAGGTTTAAACTGCAATGTAATCGCTAATGCTGCCAATTGGTGAGATTGTGAATTATACAATTGATTGAACAAAAGCTGAGTATTTTCCTTTACTGAAAATCTAACTGTTTGTCTTCTATCAGTTTCTTTTCTTGTTGTTACTATTATTCTAGTGTAAAGGTTTGTACCAATAAATGCTTCATCTCTCAATTGTTTGTGTCTGCTAATTTTTTTCATTTTGAAAGTAACTGGATTGAAGAGTGACAGGGTGACGGGATGTTATATAATATGTAAGCATGATACCATTGAAATGATTTCTGGGGTTGTTAGGAAATAACTTTGGCACTATTGAAATGATGTATTGTTACACTTGGAAGAAAGCAACAGGGATTCAGTTCATGTAGTAAAGAGTCCTAATGTATTGTTGCCTTATTAGCACGGGATAAAAAATCTATTATATAAGCAAAATCTTTTGAAATTTAATTGTAATCTTTTAAAATATGTAAGACCATGTTCCAAAAAACCACGTTTGATGGAGTATTGATGCTTACAGTTTGTTGCAGCATCTTACAGACCTATGCAACTAAACTGAGTTTGGAATCTAACTGTTTCATCCGTCATCTGGATACAATTTTATACAGATACATGAAATATATTCAAAGAAGAAATGTGGAAGAGAATTAGAAAGAATGGGGGATAGCAGATCGTTCCATATAGCTGTAAGAGGGGAGTTATCAATAGATCACGCTGTCCATCATTGTTAAATGTCAACCTTTATGTGGAAAGCAGAATGGAGGAGCTTTAAAGTATCAAGATGATAACTACCTTTATATGTTAGGATAGAATTCTATCCCAGCATGGATCCCAGGAAATACGACATAGAATGGCACAGCCCCCCCCCCCCCCCCCCCCCCAACCCAAGTCACCTTCTTTATTTATTGTTTGACTTGGCAACTTATTCTTGTCACGTATCTTTGAAGAACAGTGCTAGCTGACAGTTTGGTCTCTTCCTTCTCATACCATCCAAATTCGTTTTTCAATTCTTTATACATATGCCACATTTGCATTTCAGGAAGATCATCTGAGGGCTAACTTTGTGCAGGCGACTAAGACCTGGAGGTGGAGGCGTGATTGCTGCAGGTCCTGAACTAGAACATGCAACCAAGGAAAGGGCTGGATCACTCAAGCCTGGAAAAGCTGTAGTTGTTCCGCTTCCTCCAACTTCTCCATTGTTTACTAGGGAAGGCATAACTCATGTTATACATGTTTTAGGACCAAATATGAATCCTCACAGACCAAACTGTCTCAACAATGACTATGCCCAAGGCTGTGAGGTACTTCGTGAATCTTACTCATCCCTTTTTGAAGGGTTTGCATCCATAGTGAGGTGTCATGGAGGATCCTCGAAGAAAAGCAGTGAGACATCACTAGAATCAAAGATAAGTCCTACAAATGGTGATCAGAAGGTCAAAAGGGAATCTATCTATGAATCAAATGTAAACAAAAAATTTAAGGGACTTCAGAAAGACCTTAAACCTAGTGCTAGAAATTATCTGAACAAAAAGGAAGACCCAGATAAGGAAGATGGTGGGGGCATGACCAAAGCATGGAACTCATGGGCTCAGGCTCTTTACAATATTGCAATGCATCCTGACAAGCATAAGAATGTTGTGATGGAGATATTGGATGATGTTGTAGTACTGAAGGATCTTTATCCAAAGATCTTTCATATCTCTCTGTCACACACACATACACACACTTGGGAATATACACTTGAAAGCCAAAAAATGATTTAATCTGTTAACACTTCTCTATTTTCTTCGCCCAGGCTCAGAGGCATCTCTTGGTGTTGGCAAGGGGTGAAGGTCTGGACCGGCTTGCAGATGTATGCAGAGAGCACCTCTCATTGCTAAAGACAATGCATGCTGTTGGGTTGAAGTGGGCAGAAAAGTTTCTTGATGAAAATAAATCACTGGTATTCCGTCTTGGGTACCATTCAGTAAGTTCTGATTAGACCGAAGTGTGCTTTTTTGATGTTGTTGTTGTTAAGTCTACTTAGTGTTACTTGCCTTGGCAAACTCAGTTGACCACTTAAGAATTAATCTTGCATTAGTCATCTAAAGTATGAAAAAGGGAATGATGTATAAGAATATATTGAACAGAAGTATTTGACTTGTGTGCTAGAGAGATGAATTTGTTATGTATATTCACGGAGGGTAAGTAGAATTAGGGGATAAATGATAAAAGTATCGACTTTGACCTTGAAGCAACTTTGTTTATTTGGTGCCTTTTGATCAATAATACTGGGAAAGAAGATTAATTAAGTTTTCGCTGTCGTGAAAACAGAACGGCAACCTTAAATCGACCATACTAAGAAGTTTATTTCCCAGTACAAAAAAAATGTCTCTTATGGATGACAATAGCTTATTTTGGTCTACTTTAAGTTCAGGCAATAAATGCAACTGAAGGAGCTTATCTTATCTAAATAGATAGTTGAAAGTATTTCTTATAGCATGTATGGGAAGTGATTATATAAACGGTTTAAAATATCGGAAGTGATTATTCATATATGGATAGAAAT